TTAATTATCTTCTTAAATTTTGTACACTTCCTACGCCTCTCTAGGGCGTCGTCCACTTGTCCAGACCGTCCCTGTTTTTGTTTCGGTGGCCTGTTGTTTCAATGAGCAAGCCCGCTGTTGCTGCTACCTCGTTCACTCCACAAGCCTATGGTGTTCTCCTCACTGTAGCAGATTATAATATTTCAGAAATCTTAAATAAGAATCTGCATTTAGAGTCTCAGGCAGTTCTGAAGTATTTCGGGAGTCCTGTGCCGTAGCTGGAACTGAGTAATTATACCATGTGGCTTCCGGAATGGGTAAATATTGAGGAGGGTGCGAGGCAGTTAACCCCACTGGAAGGGGGTGAAAATGCCGGGGAGAAAGCTGACGCAGGAAGTTTATTCTGTCTGCTTTCAGTAGTATACCCATTACCTCCCTACACATCGACAGCAGATACTAAAAAGTTACAAACAAGAAGGTTCTGGACGGCGGGGTCTTAGAATAACATGTTTCACTTTCTATAAAATGACGCGTCCTAAGAAATGGTGAAGTTTGTAAAGTTCACTTCTAGTCGCTGATAACTTTTCGGAAACTTCACATATATGGCCTATTCGGTAAACGAATTAGAAGCATATGCGTGACAGTGAGGTTCTCGTCATGGTAACTACCACCGGTAATAGCGCATGAGATCTGACGCCGTATAGTCTGGCAACGTACTCCCTCCATTTTCAGGATCGAAGAGTGCGTCAAGCCAGCAACGTGCTTGATGTTTCCTTGTTGGGCTTATTATCCTACCCTGAAGATGGAGGCAGTAAGTTGTCCCGAAAAGCCGGTGAAGTGTACCAGACTACACCACGTCACATCTCAGACGACAGCACTGTTCAGATGAATTCATTAGTTTCAGCAAGATCCACGCCTTGGACACGTCAGTCAATTGCAATACATGCTACTAGGTTGCACAATAGAGTATCTCAAGAGCAAGAATAGCTCAGTCGGCACTGCGATGAGTTATGGGCTGAACGGCCGAGGCCGATTCCCAGCAGGTGCAAGAGAGCGGCGCTGGGGACCACCCAGCCCCTTATCAAATGGGTAAAGAGGGACTCTCTCCTCGGAGGTAAAGCGGCCGAGGCCTGAAGCTGGCCACTCACCTCCATACAGTACCGAGGTCAAGAATGGTGGAGCTACACCTCCACTCCCCCAAACGCCGTCATGGCGTTGTTCTTAATGAATTAGGCATAGGGACTTCAGCTTTTACCTTTTATACGGCAGCAAACTTGCTTGAGTGCACACACAGTCCTTTCAGTTACGACGTTAACGCTTCAATGGGTTATTTTAGGGGTCTCACAGCCGAGTCAAGACCGGCTAGCAGATGCCAGAAACAGCCTTTGCAACCGGTCAACGTTTAATAACAAAATTTTGCAAAAACAAAATACTTCATATAAACACCAAACTATTCCATATACCTGCTATGCAAGTCGGCTCAAATGGCAACCTAACTTGGTTCGTATTCGGGAGGAGCCCGATTCGAATCTCGGCAGGAACACAGACTATCCCAACTGAAGTTCTTCCTGGTCTTCCCCAGCCTATCCAGGCAAACGTCGGGATGGTGCATCAAATTATGTAACCTCGTTTCTTCAATACCTTTCCAGTTCACAGCACGCAACAATTCGACACTATACAACCCGAGTTCGTGAAAGTGTAGCTAATAAACTGGTTCTGTATGGGTGTGAAACTTGGGTCTCTGACATTAAGGGAGGAACATAGACTGAGGTGTTCGAGAACAGGGTGCTGAGGAGCTTCATAACAAGTATAATTAGAATGATCGAGTCTAGGACGATGAAATGGGCAGGGTATGTAGCACGAACTGGGAGAAGAGGAATGCATAGAGGATATTGGTGGGAAAGCCAGAAAAAAAGAGGCCACTAGGAAGACCAAGGCGTAAGTGGGTGAACAATATTAAAATTGATCTTAGAGAGATAGGATGGGATGTTATGGATTGGATAGCTCTGGCTCAGGATATGGACCAGTGGAGGGCTCTTTTGAACACGGTTAATGAACCTTCGGGTTCCATAAAATGCTGGGAAATTCTTGAGTAGCTGCACAATTGGCCGCTCTCAAGAACGGCTCAGCTACGTATGTGACTGAGTAGTTAATGAACGAATAATGAAATTAAATATAAGTAAATCCATAGCCTTGAGTCAAAGGTAGGTTTGGAGTATAGAGCAATGTCCCAGAAACATTTATTACTGTTTACGTTTATGGGGTTTCAACTACTTAGACAACAAACAGACTTGTTTCAACACGGTTATGATTACTGAAGCTTGTATTTACTTGTCAATGGGTACAGGACAGATGACGTTCTGCTAGTAATCAAAACACTGTCTGTAGTTAAATGATACAAACTCCGTCCTAAGTGCAAACAATATATATTTATATGTCTTTGATCTTGTTCTTTCTACACTACATGTTTCGGCCTCTATCGGCCATCATCAGGTGTATACTCTTAACGTTTCTGCCACACTGAACCCAGTCTAAAACTTAACATTTAAAAACACAATGTTACATTCTTCGTATTATCAACATCTACATCGTTGATATGTGTCTGGTATGTAGATTATGTTTCACACGTCAAACCCGATATTCTTGTAGTAGCACTCTAAAAATCTTTAGTTATGATGTTTTTAAAATCTTTTAAAATTTTNAATACTGTCTGTAGTATCAGCACTACTACCTACCAGGCAGCCCTTCACAAAACCTGTCACTTAGCCAATATGAAGCAACGCCACACCAGGGCCTACTAAGCGTCGGCCTACCATCAGGAGATTCATGCAAGGCGGGAGATTTCGAGGAAAGAGATCACCAGGCCAACGACGTTTCAACACTCGCAGTTGCTCTGAAACTGAGGAATGTTTGTCGTATACGCCATAGTACAGAACGTATAAATCGAAACGACATAAGACTAAACTAGTCGCCGGCATCGAAGGTGCTCCCGATGAACACAATTCTGTGGCAGGATCAAAGTAAACAAAAATCAAATACAATTTAAGGGGCTGTACTTTCTTACGGTAAATGTGCAGAACCCAACAACTAAACCGAGACGATGAACGATGTCCAGAGTAAACAGTTCAGGCCTGCGCATAAGCAGATGCGCACAGCATCACAGTACCGCAAATGTACAGTGCCCACCCCCTTCACCGGGCCGCAAATTATGTTAAACTAGTTACCCCTCTTCGTAAAGTCGGTGGCCGTTACTACACGGTAAAATGAAATTACTGTTCGATCTACTCACGGCGTATACTGATGGTCAGTAAGCATAACAAACATGCGTAACATGTAGAAGGGTATAAAGCACGACAGACCAGAGCGGTCAACGATCTCCTGTAATCCGGCTTTCGGGAACTACGGCAGGGCCCTTTGGTCTGTGGATCGGTCCGTCGCAAGGCCACTCCCTACAGCGGACAACATGACACATACGTCAATGATCCCGAGTGAGATTCGAAATAGCGACAACAGAAGTGAACAACAATGCATGCCTTAGAAGGAACGGCCGCTATGACCGGCCTTGCTGACTCTCTTAGCGCTTGCGCAAGATTAACCGAGCGAACACACCGTTAGTACTTCAGCGCTTAAGGGGGGGGGGGAACTCTTGTACAACCGCTTCGTACTTTCTTCGGAGATTATCTAACGACTCATTTAGTACCGGACAATGGTACACACGAGTTGGAAAGTATACGGAAGGGAGCAATCATGACCTAATGAACTCTCATCCCGTCGCTGGCCTGGAGGGACTGAGATAAACACCACACCTGTCACGAAAAGTTTCCCGGCTGAGATTCGAACAGAGCACCTACAGCGTTAACTCTACACTAAACTGCTCGGTGTCTTATTTGTATTTCAACTATTAACTGACATACACTGTATACTGCCACACAACGAAACATCAACTAACATTTAGTCTTCGAGCGGGCGAGCTTTCCAGGCATACAGGCCTATATTGCCTCTTTACTAAACCAGAGGTTCTGGGTTTAATTAATAGCCTGCTTTCCTTCCACTACAATTTGAGTACCTGAGAGAAAAAAAACTCCGTGGGCTGTAGTCCGCAAAAGAGCTAGACCGACCGAGCGACCGCCGCTTGTCGGCGAAGTTAGTGCCAACTTTTGTGGGATAGAACGCTTTTGCGGAGCCGCTATTTCCTTGAAATAGCTCCTCAATTATCCTCACGAGGCTGAGTGGACGCCATTCCAGACCCACTACTTCTCAGAAAATTTGTAGCGCCGGAAATCGAACCCGGGACCTCTGGATCTGTAGCCAGGAACTCTGACCACTAGACCAGAGAGGCGGCCAAGTATCTGAGACAAGTAGGAAAAAAAGTTAGTATGATGAAATCAATAAAACAGTATAATTCGAGAGGCTGCAGTGTTGGTCTTTTTTTATTGCTAGTGGGGTGGGACTAAGTCCCTTGTACTGCGGCCACTTCTGGCCTATTGTACCAGCACCAGATGATAGGTGAGGGTGATTGTGGAGCAAATAGTGGAATGAAGATTGGCAGGGGAAACCGAAGTACTTGGAGAGAGACAAATATTAATATTACTGATGGGAGAGATTTGTAAGTACGTCACTGAGATGACTTCAGGTGGCATGACACACACACACACACACA